GCGTGAGCAAGGGAGGGTCAGAGAGAGAGGGAGATACAGACTCTGAAACAGGCTCCAGGCTCTGAGCTGGCAGTCAGCACAGAGCCCGACGCGGGGCTTGAACCCACGAACCGTGAGATCATGACCTAAGCGAAAGTCGGACGCTTAACCGACTAAGCCACCCAGGCGCCCCAAAAGAATGAAGTATTTGAAAAAAGGGGGCGCCTGCGTGGCTCAGTCATTAAGCATCAGACTCTTGATTTCGGTTCAGGTCATGATCTCCGAGTTTGTGAGTTGGAGCCCTTGGTGGGTCTCTGTGCCGGCAGAGCCTGTTTCTCTCCCTCGCTCTCTGCCCCTCCCCTGCTCATTCGAGCCCTCTCTGTGTCTCTAAGTCAATAAATCAACTTTAAAGTATTTGAAAATGAAAATGAACTTTTTTGGGGGAGGGGAAACCCTAAAAGTCCCTGGCCTTTCTCCCGGCTCGGCTGTGAGCCCACAGAGCACAGGCTGCAGGGTCTGTGAGGCTGGGGGGGCCTGACAAAGGTCAAGTGCTGGGAAATGACAGGTCCCGCCGTCCTCACCCGGGACCTCGGGTCTTTCCTCCCCTCTTGCACCCATACGTGTGTCCGCTCATAATCCTGGGACTGCTTTCCCGCGACACAAACCTTCTGAGGCCGTGTCCTCAGGGAGATTACAACGGCATATATTAGTATCGAACATCGCATTTGGTCAGCGACTTATTTATTAAAATAGTTGTCACTGTAAATGCAATAGGGGCTTTTTATAAAAAATGTAGGAGGCACCAAAAAAAGCATGGAAAGGAAAGGAAAAACAAGACAGAACCGAACTATCTACAATCCAACTTCCCAGAATCAACCACAGCCAACTTTCCGCCTTTTCCCATCCAATCTCCATGCATATTCTTATGTCCATATGAAGCACAGTTATATTTATATTTAAAATGCAGGGGCGCCTGGGTGGCTCAGCTGGTTAAGCGTCTGACTTCGGCTCAGGTTATGATCTCGAGATTCGTGGGTTCGAGCCCCGCGTTGGGCTCTGTGCTGACAGCTCAGAGCCTGGAGCCTGTTTCGGATTCTGTGTCTCCCTCTCTCTCTCTCTGTCCCTCCCCCACTCATGCTCTGTCTCTCTCTAAAAATAAATAAACATTTAAAAATTCATTTTAAAAACAAAACTAAATAAAAAATAAAATGCCCATGCGACATTAAACATTTTTTATTGTAACATTTTCTTTTCTTTTTTTTTTTTTATTTATTTCTAGGATAGAGAGAGACAGCGTGAACAGGGGAGGGTCAGAGAGAGAGGGAGATACAGACTCTGAAATAGGCTCCAGGCTCTGAGCTGGCAGTCAGCACAGAGCCCGACGCGGGGCCCGAACCCACGAACCGCGAGATCATGACCTGAGCGAAAGTTGGACGCTTAACCGACTAAGCCACTCAGGCGCCCCTATTGTAACATTTTCTAACAGGAGAGAACTCCCAGGCGTGCATCACGCAGCTTCTATGAGCAGCTCTTGGTCATTTCATCTAATCTCCACCTATGTCTTACTACACTATTTAAAAATAAATCCAGGCATCATAGCATCTCACCCATAAACAGGCAAGAATGAGTTTCTAAAGGAATAAGAAGTCTTTTTTTGTACACGATAACTTCCTTACTATTTCTTACTTTGACAAGTTAATCAAAATTCCTCACTATCATCCAGATGCAATTTTTTCCCAGGGAATGTCAACTCGTGAGGGTTTCTCCACGTCCCTAACAGGTAATTGCTGATGCTTCTAGTCACATTCCGTGAGGAGCGTATCATGAATGGTCTGACCCCACGCCGCGCCCCACACGCCCCTGGGCCCTCGGCTGCCACATCTTCGCGAAAATGGTCCCTCGTAGCATGGAAAGCAAAACCCAGCGACCGTCACCCGCTGTGACCTCTGACCGCGGCGCCCCACCCCGTGAGCCCACAGGTGCTGGTGAGTTCTCGGTTCCTACCTGGGCCGGGCCTGGACTTGACCTCTGGACTCGACAGTCGAGATGATCGGCCACCCGTCCCACAGTCTGTCTGTCTGTCTGTCACAGAGCATTTCCCTTTCCCTCCCTCTGAGGGCATCTTTATTTGCAAAGTTAGCCAATAGTCTCTGGTTTCCTGTGAGGCTGACTATCTTTAGATATTGCACAGGGAGTGGGAGCCCCAGGCCTGCGGGAGGTGAGGCTGAGCCCGGGGGCGGACACGCGGGCCCTGGAGGAAGTGCGGGTGTGGGGGGTTATGTGCCCCACGGGGGGTTGGGGGGAGGGCAGGGCTCCCGAGCCACCCAGGCCCACTGCGCCTCGGTGTTCTTGCCTGTGAGGAGGGCCACGCGGCTGCCCGGGCAGCAGGTGACGGAGCAGCCTCTCGCCCCGAAGCGCAGTGGGTACCGGGCACCGGCAGCTTATAGACAAGCAGCACCCCGGGGCCCCCGAGTTAGACTCTGCATGGAGATGATGTTCTTAGGGCGTTGGCAATGGGAATGATCGGCACAAAAGGCTCTCAGTGAGTGCCCGGCACCTGGTAGGGGCTTCGGACCCACTTCCCCCTCACTCCGTGCCACCCCACGCCCTCCGGTCAAGCCTGGGGTACAGGAGTGCCCGGCACGAGCTTCACCCCCAAACTGGGCGGCTCTGTCCCCACGGCCGCCCGCAGCCGCCGGGTGCCCGCCGCTGCTCCTGACCGTCTGCTCTGGGGCCTGGCCGGGGTCAGGGGTCAGCGGCTCCCCCTCGGGAGGCCCGGCTGCCGGGCCCCTCTCGCTCCCCACCTGCCCCTCCGCCCCCGCTGCCGGCCGAGCTGGGGAGGGGACTGTGGCCCGCAGGGTGGCCGCCTGCTGGGTCTGAGGAAGCCTGCGGCCAGGTTCCCTTCCTCCTCCCCGTGGCCCCTCAACCCCCTTCCTCCTCCCGCCCGGAGCCACCTGTCGCAGGGGCCACCCCCGGCCCCCCGGCCTGCGGTGACCCCTCCGCTTCCCTGGGGGCTCCTGCCGAGACCCTCTTTCCGCTGCAGCCACACCCTCGCCCTCCGCACCCCGGGGTGCGCCAGCGTCCGCGTGGCCTCCACGCCTCCTGCCGCTTTCTCCGGTGACCATTCGCCGCCTGGGAGCCCTCGGGGGGCCTGCCCACCGGGGGTCCCCGAGCCGGCCCTGAAGCGCGGCCTGGGCCAGGGCGCCCTCCCCGCCGAGGCCCCGCTCCCCGCCGGCTTCCAGCCACCCCCCTGGGGCCACACGCCGCCGCCCGCCCGGCGCAGCCGCAGGGGGACCCCGAGCCAGCCCAGCACGCGCCCCGCCGACCGTGCCACTCCCCCGCCCCCCGAATTCCACGGGGTGACGCGCTGGCGGCCCGCGGGGACAGCTGCCCGCGGAGGGGGTGCGGGACGGGAGAGACCCCGAGGCTGCGAGCGCCCCCTGAGAAATGGGCCGCGGAAGGGGCAGCTGGGGCTCTGCATTCCCTGCCCCGGGGGCCTCGGGCCGGCCTCACCCCCGCGGGCCTCACCTCCTCCCGCCCCGCGCACCCCTCCCCAGCGCTCCCCGCTGCTGCCCGTTCCCTGGGCCGGCCTTCTCCCCTCCCTCTCGCAGCCCCTCGGCCTCACCCCCTTGTCTGAGCTGTTCCGTGGAGAGAGAATGGACACCACAGGTGCCGCTTCCACGCACTGCTTAGTTCGAGCTGGAGGCCTGAGAAGGAGCCAGTCGGGGGCCTCTCCCAATCGGCCTGAGGACAGAGCCCCCGAGGACCTGGGTCACCACAGACCCTCTCCCCGGGGGGTTCTGCCACCGGGACGCACCGACACTTGTCACAGGAGAGGAGGCTGGGAGTCCCCCCCACACCCGACACGCTGGGTCACAGGCTGTCACATCCCATCCGTACTTCCAAGGGCCCTCGCACGGTTCACATCACTTACTGTCCCCGAGAAGCACGCACACCCCTGCCTCTCCCATCATGCGGGCGTCTAAGCCTGAATTCTAAGCCACCCTGAGGGGACACCCATTTTCCCCGCGTGCCTCCCGTGTGTGTACGATGCACACATGTTAATAACCCATTTGTGTTTCTTTTATTACCGGGCGTCCGCCAAGAGCCCACATGGGTAAAGGGAAAATTGTGTCGCCCCCCACAGTTCGGGGTGCCCCAGACGGGACCCTGGGAAGACTGGCCAAAGCCAGCAAGTTGAGTGTCCGACCCTTGATTTTGGCTCAGGTCATGATCTCACGGTTTGGTTCGTGAGATCGAGCCCCACGTCAGGCTCTGTACTGACAGTGTGGAGCCTGCTTGGGAAATCTCTCTGCTCCTCCCCCACTCAAAATAAATCAATAAACTTAAAAAAAGATTTGTCTTCCCTCTACTTGCTTGCAAGTCCTAATCGCCCTCGGTGTCTCTTCCAGCTGACAGAGTAGCTCCCGGTTTCTACTGGGCAGAGGGGTAAGGGCACCGGGCGGGCTTCTAGGTAAGAGCCGTGGTGGAGCGGCCGTGAGGATGGCGGGGACAGCCTGGCAGTGATGGGCACAGGCACACAAGACAGGCGAGGACCAGAGACTTGGTCTGAATAAGGCTTTGTGGGAGAGACACAGCACAGGGAAGTGAGGATATGATTAAGCCTTGAATGCCAGGCTAGGCTATTCCCACTTTCTGCTACAGGCTGATGGGGGGTGCTTCGGGCATCCAAGGGGGTGACGATTCTACTGTGTGGACACACACACGGCACCTAAACAGACAGCGTATCTATGTTGTCAACATTTCACGACAGGTGACTAAGAATACAGTGTCGGGGGCCTGGGTGGCTGAGTTGGCTCTGACTCGTGATTTCAGCTCAGGGCATGATCCCAGGGTCGTGGGGCCCAGCCCTGCATCAGGCTCTGCGCTGTGTGTGGAGCCTGCCTGCGATTCTCTCTCCCCCTACGCCCGTCTCCCCTACTTGCTCTATCTCTTTCTCTCTCTCTCAAATTAAAACATTTTTTTAAAAAGAGAATCAGATGTCGAAAAAGACCTACCTGGGGGGATCAAGGTTGCGAAACTGTGGTCACTGCTCGTAATCAGACCACAGAGCTGAGTCTCGTGCTTCCATCCTGGAGTTAGGAGGTGACGGGATGGAGGTGACATCTTCAGAAAAATAAAGCAGCAGTTGAGCGGATGGGGGTGGGGGCTGCCGGAGGAGGAGGGAAGGGACAGGTGTATGGCACGTGCTGCTCCGTGCCAGACGCTGGGCGAGGGCACGCCGCCTGGAAGTTCTCCTTTTGAGCTTCCCGTTCACGTTAGGTACCGTTATTTCCATTTTCAGACGACGGAAGGAAGAGACCAGAGCAAGGGGGACGCAGCCGGCGGCTGGGCAAGGGCAGGACTTGAACTTCTGATTCCGAATGCGGGCGGGGAGACGGTCACGGAGGGAGTGGACACCAGAAGGAGGGTGATTTGGCTAACGGTGCAGGTGCGGAGTTGAAGGGTCGGGCCCTTCAGCGCCGGCGGGGAGCCAGGGCCTGCCTTGCCACCACCAAGGCCACCCCAACGCACCAGAAGACCCAGAAGCGGAAGTTCTCGCTCGTTCCTCTTTTCCTCCGAAGAGAAGAAAGATCAGACGTAGAAAATTGGGAAGTTAGAGAGGAGTCACTGTAGACAAAATAAATGCTATTTACTTGTTCTTACTTCTTCCCTCTGCCCGAATGTTTACATTTTAATACCACTCGCTGCAATTTCCCAGGCTTATTTCATCATTTCTGCTCAACAGGAAGAAAAAGCATTCCTCTTTGGTACAAAGGTAACAGAGCCTCAGGAGTAATTTTGGAGACAATATTTTTAGGCACCATTGAACTATTTTCTTTGAAATTCTGAAACATTCCACTCTCCTCTCCCCAAACACGGCGTGTGTTCCCAATCACGTAGAACTCACTAACGGAGAATAATGCAAAATGAACAAATCACTGCAACTTTGTGTCCTAAAAATATTTCCATTTTAGCCCTTTGAACGACAGAAGTAGTTCTGATTATTTCCTAGAATGTCTTCATATCGCTCTCTGAGGCTCTGGAGGGTCTGTGTTAGGACAAAATAAAATAACAGTTGTCTTTTGTGAGCAAAACCCTTAAAGGAGTTTTTCTATTGTTGCTGCAGAGATGATACAGTGCTTAATACCCAGGAGCAATAAAATAGAGCAGCTGAGTCTCTATCATTGATCAGCTGTTGAAAATAAGTTGTCAGCAGAGCACCTGGGTGGCTCAGTCATTTAAGCATCCAGCTCTTGATCTGGTCATGATCTCACGTTTGTGAGTACGAGCCCCGCGTCGGGCTCTGCGCTCACGGTGTGGAGCCTGCTTGCGGTTCTCTCTCCCTGTTTCTCACTTGCTCTCTCTCTCTCTCAAAAAAAAAAAAAAATTAAAAAAAGAAAGAAAGAAAAGAAGCTGTCAGACCAGCCATGCATATGCTCACCTACGGGGTAACCTTACGTGTGGCATCATATTTCCGAGAAAATCTTCTTGAATTTGAACCCCATCGTTGGACACAACGTAAGTTCATAGTGAAGTACAAATGCAGAGGCGCGAATGCAGCGGTGCCTTGTCCCGGTTCGTACGCCTGCATCAGGTCCCCGTGACCTGATGAATTGACACCAGGGTCTTACAGGGTCCTTTTGCGCTTTAATGGCTGCAGTGGATACTGTTTAACGTAAGACTGTAATCGACCAGAAAACAGACGGCGGGATTTGGCGTCCGGGGCAGCCGCGTCGGCTCCTGACGAACGTCCTCCGTTGGATGGACTTGAACCAAGAACTGGGTCGGCTCAGGTACACTTTTTAATCCCCAGGACCAACACTGTCGCCTCAAGTCGTTTCGAAAGTACATTATAAGGTACAGAGACGGCAAAGGCCGGGAAAGGAACACTTGGCCCCCGCCGTTCTCAGCGCGCGGAGTACCCGAGACGCGTGGCCGTGGGCCTTACCTGTGGTCGCAAACGTGGACAAAACGTGGCAGTGGCTGCAGGTGCGCCTGGGCGCCCGGGCTGGAGGGTCTGCACCACTTACCGCGGTGAGAGGCTTTCTTCTTAGGTGCTGTGATAGGCTTTGCCCGTCTCGTAGCAGAAAATACATACGTTTTTACAGTAGATCGAGTGCATTTTATTCAGAGCCAGGTTCTGGTCTCAGTTCTAAAACAGAATATCAGTATTTATTTCCGCGTGAGCCGGCCCCCCAAACAACCACGTCTGAGTAAGTTCCAGTTACATTTCTATCCGCGCTTGAAGGCAACGAGGTTTGGGTGGAGGGCGGCGGTCTGGGGCTGGCTGTGTACTGCCTCCCGGACGTGCTGACAGCCCCTCAGGCGACGGCGGGCACGGAGGGCATGCGTGGCGTGCGGGGGAGCGCTGGGTCATTCCACTGAGTGGGCACGCCTCTCGGGGATGGAGCCCGCAGTTAATACCTCGACTTAGAGAAGCCGCACGCTGACGCCAGGCTTCCTCCAAAGGCTCCAGCACTCTGCTTAGTGTGTGGACCACAGGCTGCTTCAGGGCCGTGAGCACTCGCACTTCCAGCACATTTGGAACAGCCCCAGCTCTGAATTGAGCTCAAGGAGGCAACCGTTTCAGTATCTTGAGAGGCTTACGTGGAAAACTCGCTTAAAATTTCTTTTGCAGGGTGCCTGGGGGACTCAGTCGGTTAAGGATCTGATTCTTGATTTCGGCTCAGGTCATGATCTCACGGTTTGTGAGTTTGAGCCCCACCGCGGGCTCTGCGCTGACAGCGTGGAGCTCCTTCGGATTCTTTGCCTCCCCCTCTCTCTGCCCCTCCCCTGCTCTCTCTCTCTCAAAACTAAACATACATTTAAAAAAATTGCTTTTCCAAAAATGTTTCAGATCAGTGATTGTAAAACTACGATGTCAGGTCAATTTAACCTGCTTGCAGAAGAGGCTAAAGACGTGTGTTTCCTTGAAGCCACTACATCTCCTGTAGCTCAAGTATGCGTCTGGGTTCCGTAAAGCAGCCAACGTTGGCTGAAACCATATACCCAGCAACATAACTATAATTCCTGGATTATGACATTTCTCCATATGGAGCGTTTAAGATACGGATGAGGCAACATTTTGTCATATTCTAAAGCTCACGTGTGTGTGTGATTAGTGTGATTTTTAAAGTAAATGGAATCCATCTGTGATTCAAATGTGAAAATCTGCCTGTCAAAGAAAGATAAATATTTCTATGATCTCACTTACAGGTGGACCTTAAAAAGATCACACTCAGGGAAACAAGGAATACATCGGTGTTGCCAGGGCTTGAGGGTGAGGGGAATGGGGTGACGTGGGCCAGAGGACACCAACTTTCAGTTATAAGATGAATATGTTCGGGGCGCCTGGGGGGCTCAGTCGGTTAGGCCTCCAATTTCAGCTCGGGTCATGATCTCGCAGTTTGTGGGTTCAAGCCCTGTATGGGGCTCTATGCTGACAGCTCAGAGCTCAGAGTCTGGAGCTGCTTTGGATTCTGTGTCTCCCTCTCTCTCTGCCCCTCCCCCACTTGCACTCTATCTCTCTCCCTCAAAAATGAATAAACGTTAAAAAAAAAAAAAAGAAAGAAAATGTGTCTGTCATTCTCCAGGAGTCTCATTTGGATTGAAGTGTTTTCTTTTTTTTTTTTTTTAAGTTTTTAAACACTTTTTAAAATGTTTATTTATTTTTGAGAGAAAGGGAGGGAGACAGAGAATCTGAAGCAGCTCCAGCCTCCGAGCTCCGAGCGGTCAGTACAGAGCCTACGCGGGGCTTGAACTCACGAGCTGTAAGATCCTGACCTGAGCCGAAGTCGGACGCTCAACCGACTGAGCCCTCAGATGCCCCTGGATTGAAAATTTTTCTAGATCTCAGTAGATGGAGGCAGAAGTCCTAAAGGCTCATTGCAAACTAAAGCAATGTTTGGAAACTTTATTCCAAAGCAAAGTAATCATTTGCAGGTCCGCTAGGAAGCAGTTGCTGGTGGCCACGGCTCTGGCGCATTCCATGCTGTCCGCAGCCCTGGCGGGGCCCGCCCTCTCTGTCCGCGGTCGCTCTTCAGGTGTTTATTAGGTACCAACCCCAGTGCTCGGGGCCGCCTGCTCGCGACACCAAGATGAACGGGGCGGGGTTTCGGCCGTACCCCTTCCACGGCCTCTGCCTTCCACTCCTCGCGGCTGCAAAAGGAGACAGCTGGGGGAGTGAGGTGACAGGCAGGTGTCAGAAGGATGCGGGGCCATCTGTCCGGCCTCTGTCCCCCCGGCCCTGTCTTTCCCCTCCTGGGGTCCCCACCTCTCGGCAGGGCCGGGAGCGGCAGCTGCAGTGCCCATCGGCGGGCATGGCCCAGCCTTGGGGACCAGTGCTGTCTGCAGGACTCTTCCGGGCCCCCCGGTGTCATCCAGAGCCCGTGGCTTCGCCGCACCAAATGGCTGTGTGGCTGCATTTCCCAGGCAGGACGGCGTGGTATGTGCGGGTGACGCCGGCGAGCCTGCAGACCTACAGTTACGTGGAGTCACGCTGTGCTGGTCCGATGCTGAGCCCTGGTCAGCCTCAAGCTGTGTGGCCTCGGTCAAGCTTACTGCTCGGAGCCGGCCCTGCCCTCCGGGGAAAACCAAGGTGGGAAACCCCACGTGGCAGGGTGCTGCGAGGCTCAGCGACACCGCACGACAGGGACCTTGCGTGGGGCCTGCAACGTGGGGCCTCGGGAAACGATGGATGATTATTCGAGGCAAGAAGTTCCCAAACCAGGTAAGAGGGACACAGATCTGCACTTTGGGGACAATGGAGGAAGGCATCCTCTCTCCCTAAGGCGTCTGGGCGGATGCATTCCCTGGGGGGACGCGTCAGGAGAGGCACAAGCCGCGAGAAGGTCAGGAGGGTTAAAGGCCTCACACGAGAGTCGTCTCAGTGTGGTCCCTTCCGCTGGAGTGTCCGGGACTTTGTCGATGTGCAGCCGTCTGTCCCCTCAGAAGACCTGTCCACCCCATGCCGTTCCCTCGCCAGGGTTTCTGAGCCACAGGGACCTCTCTGCTTCGGACTCTCGGGCAGCCTTCTCCCTCCTCCCCGATGACCTTTGTACTGTGCTTTGAGAACAATTAAAACCCCAGCGTAACGGACTGAATGCTGTGTCCCCCCAAGTCC